AGACATTCTTTAATAGTTAAGCTATTGTCTGGTTTTAAGAAGATGTCAGGGAATATTTTTGGCTTAAGATTTAAATTATCTCAGTGTAATAATTTTAGGGCAGGGTAATAATTTTAGGGTCACCTAACCTTCAAGGCTCCAGAAAGACTGGAGTCTAAGACAATTTGAAATACTATAATTCCCTTTTTGATCAAGATTCTTCTATAGACTCTTTGACCAAAATGTTCAGTAATGATAGTTGGGCACCATCCAATTCTTCTGGTTCTAGGGCTAAAAAGGCTATTGGTTCATGGAGGCAATTAATTAGTCACACGTTCTATGTCCTCTTCCTTTTCCTGACTCTCCCTCCTCTCTTATTCCAGAGAACAGAGACAATTGTCATGCCTTGAGTCGGTACTAGAAAGCAATTAAGACCCCTACACTTTCAACTACAAAGTAAAACAAAAACATTAAACATGTTATTGGGTCTATTAACTGGATGTCTTATAAAACCATGACCATAACCCTCTAAACCAAGAAGCCAAGTCCCATGAGGTTTTTAGCTACACATAAGTAACCTCAGCAGTTAATTTCTGTAAACATATCCATGAAATAACTTCTTCTAATTCAATTACACATATAATTAACTGACAGCAATTACAATAATCAAAGCTTTGCACTTTGAAGTTGAATATAGTCATGGTCCCTCTGCATGTGTCAGAGTAAAACTGTATTTCAGAGGGTTTTCAGAGAATGACTTTTCATAAATAGATCAACAAATGTTAAAATCTTTCTTCCTAAACATTTCTGGTTAGCCTCTAACTTTTTGGTCTGTAGTACCCACAAAGTTCTTTTAATGAATAGTTAGCAAGACTTCCTGTCCTAAATAATCATGCTACAGTGGCCATCTCTATATAATTAAGTCAGCAAATATCTAAAAGCGTCAAACAGCGTTCTTTTGGCACTTATTGTTAGCTCTACTTTGGCAACAACTCTTCCACCGTAATTTTTTTGGTGGACACTTCTTCACAGTACAGAATATGACCAAGAAGGAGTCTTCTAATAGAAAATACACTTATCAACCTTCTTGCATTTTGGAGAGCCCTTGACAGATTATACTACAACATTTCCTCAAACAAAAAACAATTACAATAAATCTCTCTTCCTCAACTTTATCAACTATACATGCCACCATTTACCTTCAAAAGTGGTAAATCTGAAGAAGAGACTGGATCATACGATAACAGCACACTCTGCCACCAGAGCACCTCAAATATAAAGCAAATAATGAAAAAAAATTCTCTCTCCCTTAACCATGAGAAAACAGACACTCAAGAGATTTAAAAATCCAACAAAAAGGGGAAAAATTTTCTTTCAACTGGGAGAAAATTACAAAGGCAATACATTTTAAAAGGCATGAACTTCAAATCCTGCTTGAGAATCTATTAGTAAACTCTCAACTTTTATGTACCAGAGTAGAAATGGATTCATGCTTGACCGCCCCTGGATTTCCTGGGTTGTAAATGGCAATGGAGGGGGTGACTCAACTTGTCCTATGAACCTGTTGGTGGGTTCACTGATAAACAGGAGTGGTCCCAGAGAACGACTCCACCAATTTACCACTGGCGTAAATACCAGAGACCTGCTCAGCATTGTCCAGGCTGGCCTTTAGAGATAGCTGCCATCCAAAGTAATCTACTCTTCCCCTTCAAGATCATGAAAATGCAAATCCCACAGAAAGACCACCCAACTATAGAACAAAGTCTAAAAAAGTGAAAAATAGGAGAAAACAATTCACAATGTGGATGCTTTCCTTCTTAATTTCTGTCACTGTTTTCATCAAATACGGTTGGGGGTGGTTCCTGAGGTTAAAATGAGAGAAATGAAAAATCATTTACTTATTCCCAATGTGGACGCAATACCAACTCGTAACCACCAGAGGGAGGAAGCAAAGGTTTCAGAGGTCAAAGCATCAGGGTCTTTTTCTACCCTTCCCCCTCACTTGAGAGGAGAAGCTACATAAAAAAACCCATTAACAAGAGGACTGCTGGACGAACGTAGGTACAGACTGGGAGGTCGGAGAGCACAGCAAGCCTGGGTGGGGGCAGGCCTCAGCCTCGATGCCAGGAAGGTATCTTAGTTCCTAACGTGCCACCCCACGTCATTCCCGTCACTGCAGGCACCAATCCGGGAAGGGGGGACGTCTCTTCACTGGGCCGAAATCTCTGATATTTGCTCACTTATCCAGGGTCCAAAGTTTGCGTCCTTAACCCGCCGTCAGCAAGTGGCTTCACTTTCATCATTAGAAACTCGCCAAAATAAGTTACGACTACAAGCCAGGTAGACGCAGAACCAAGTAGGGACCAGGCAGGGAAGAGGCGGCAGCTCTCGCCCCGAAAAACTTAGGAACTGCAGGCTACGGAAGCGGTTCGGAGTGCAGCCCGGAAACCAACAGCGCAAATGGAAGCGCCTCCCCCCATAGGAAAGAAAGGAAAAATAACGTCGGCGACCTCCCCACGGCCGCGGCCCCGGGCGACCCCCGCCCCGAGCGACCCCCGCGCCCGCGCCCGCCTCACCCAGCCCTCCCTGTCTCGGTCTCGCCGCGCTTAGGGCCGCCTGGAGAGGCGCCGGTGACATGAGCGGAGCCCGAAGGAGCCCCCGAGGCCCCTGCGCGGCAGCGGCGACAGCGGCCGCGCCGCGGGGCATTAATCCCGAGTGGGTGGGAGGCTCCCGAGGCTGCCCTCACCCATCTCCGCCTCCCCAGTCGCCTCCGCCTCCGCCTCCGCCTCCTCCTCCGTAGGCTGCGCTGCTCTCAGCCCCCCCACTATCAGCGGATCTGGACTGGAAGACAGTGGGGCAAGCCTCACCCGGTTCTGGCTGCGGCTCCGCGGAGCGAACCTCCCCTCCCCCGGCCCACCCCCCTTCGGTAACACGCACAACTCCGCTCGGTCCACTCCCGGGTTTCGCGCTGGTGAGGAGGAGGTGGAGGAGGAGGTGGCCGCGCTGCCGAGCCCGTAGAAGCCCCGCCCCAGAGCCCTCATTGGCTGGCGGCAAAGGCGGGCCGGGAACCTCTCGGCACACCAATTGGCTCCATCGGCCTTCCTTCAGGACCCCCCTCGATGAGGTGGTCCAGAAGGCTGTCCGTCAAGCGCAGGACACACCCCCCGACGTTTCCATTCCACTCCCTCCCAGCCGCCCCTTCCCTTCTCCGCCCGTCCCCTCCTCCCCTGCGTCCCCCGCCCCCACCCCACTCGGGCCGTCAGGGTCAGACGGACCCGCGCTCCGTGGCCCCCAGTACTGGCTGCGGGCTGACTTTCGGGCTCATCGGCGGGTCCCCCGGGCCAAGGACGCCCCGAGACACCGAGGCTAGGGCCTTGCTCGGACCTCTGCCCGCAGCCCACTGCAACGACTCTGAACGTCTCTGCCCGAGGAGAGACTCAGCCTCGATACCCCGAACGCCCTCTCTGTCCATTGCTTGGAGCCCTTGCGGGCCAGGGGCACGGGGGTGGGGGGATCTAGGACCAGGTCGCCTGGGGAGAACAGACCGAGGGCGCGGTGGCTTCCCGAGTGCTCCGAGACGAATGCAGGCCCCTCCACCCTCGCCTCGCCCCGTGGGGCAGAGTCCCCCACTCCCGTCATGGCTGCAGCAGGAGGAGGCGACGTCCTCCATTTTGTCGGGACGCTGTGGGAACTTGGGGCCAGTTCAACGCCAAGCCCCGAGGGGCTGGGGAGCTCGTCCCCGACAAGCCCCACTGGGCTCACCCATTCGGCCGAGGGAACCGCCCCGGCCTCGAGGGTCTGGCCCTCTGGGGCCGAGGCGGGCAGGCGCCACGATGGAGGGACCCAGACGCCGCTCCTGCCTCCATCAACCAAGATGGAGGAGGCTGCGGGCGCCCCTGGAGCTGGGCTCCCTTGGAGGGGCTGAGAGCTTCCCCTGCGTGTCCCTCTGTGCTGCCGTCTTCTCCTCGGCCGCTCGCAGGCGCCCACCCCCAGCCTCCCAAGGGCCCTCCCCCGTGTCTGGTCCTCAAGGTGGTGGAGGCTTCTCTGTCGGCTCCATCGCTTCGCCACAGCTGGGCCGTCAGCCCTGCGGGAGGCGCGGAGGACCAGCGGGAGGGCCAGGCGGCGGTCACACAGGCCCACTCAGCCCGTCGAGGACCAACTCTTTTTGTTGTTCATGGCCTACACCTACATCCTGGGCAGACATAATGGTGCGGTACAATGGCCAAGAATTCCCCGTAAAGAGTGAAGACATGGCGCGCTCATCTCACCCTAGCGGTGGGTCGTGGGATTGCAGGTGTTGGTGTTGGAGAAAGAAATGCGTAGGTGACTGGATTTCTCAATTGTAGAGAGAATCTGACACCATTGCCTATTAATAAATGGAGATGTGTTACAATTTCAAGTCTACCGGTGATAATGAGCATGGGGTTTAAAATTAAGTTAATCATAAAAGACTGCAAAAATGATGTGTAAACTCAAAAAATGCCATTTACAGAACATAATCTGTATGTTCAGAGTCATTAATTCATTATGAATAAAAGCTCACTTGACATAACTCTCAAGTTGTCCTTATATTTAGGAGTAAATATAATGATTTTTTTATTGTGTGCCATCATGTTGAGGGTCACTCATGAACATCAAGAAAACAAAGATTTTCATTACTGTGCCAATTGTTGGCAGCACCATAATAAATGAGAAGAGGTTGAGATTGTTAACAATTTCAGCTTGCTAGGTTCCACAATCAATACGCTTGGCACTAGCAGTCAGAAAATCAAAATAAAAATTGCATTAGGAAAATCTGCTGTCAGGGAAATCTCCAGAGCGCTGGAGAGCAACAATGTCAGTCTAGAAACTAAGGTGTGCCTCATCTAAGCGATGGTCTTCTTAGTCAGATAGCTGGACAATAACCAAACATGACAAGAAAAATTGATTACTGCAGAGGGTGAAAACAAGCTGTTCCTTGGAGGCAAGGGTTTTGAAACTCCATCTTACATACATTGGGCATGTTGCCAGGAGAGACTAGTCCTTGGAGAAGGATATGCTTGGAAGGATGAAGGGACAGGGCAGGAGAGGAAGACCCCTGACGAGATGGATTGATACAGTAACAGTGGTAATGGAAATAAACGTGTCTGAGACATATTGCTCAGGATAGAGCAAGGTTCAGAGCTATTTATTGTGCATAGGGTTGCTATAAGCACATAACACCATGAACAACAGATCTGAACCCTGTCATATCCTGTGCCATCTCTGACACATTTGAGGCTATTGCTGCTGGTTCTGTGTATATCTTTCTCACTGAGGTTCTTCCTCCCTTTTGTCAACTCTCCACATTTCCAATCATAATGTCACTTTCCAAGGAATAGCCTCTTCTAGCAACATGTCCAAAGTATGTGAGAGGAAGCTTCACCATCCATGCCTCTGTAAAACACTCTTGGATGCACTTTCTCCAAGACATACCTGTTTCTTTTGGTAGTCTGTCCATATTCATTACTTTTCACCAACACCACAGCACAAAAGCATCAGTTTTTTTTCTTTTGTCATCTTTATCCATTGTCCAGCCCTCAGACACATAGTAATTGAAAAGAAATGGCCTGAATCAGGCACACTTGTCTTCAAACTAACATCATTGCTTCTTGGTACTTTGGAGAAATCCCTGACAGCAGACTTTTCCCAATGCAATAACACATCTTTTGATTTCTTGACTCCTGGTGCCAAGGGTGTTGATTGTGGATCCAGCATAGCTTGAACTTATAAAACTGTGTTACTTTTTTCCCTTCAGATTAAATTTTTATAATTAAAAATGTTTCATTTTTCAATAAAATTGTATAGTTGCCTTTATTACACAGTAGAATTTTGCTTGACTACATCATTACCAGGGCAGAAATGTCCTTGATCCCTAAATAAATACATAAATTCAAGGCAATATTGTAATAACTCAATGAAAACTTGTATCATGCTTTTTTTATATTCTATACCTTCAGCTCATCTATTGTGTAGCCAGAAGGGTTGATTAGAGATGATAAATTTCATGGAATTCAATGATAGATTAAGAGGCTACCTGTTGTTCTATTTCAAGAAATTTCATTCTATTGGTAGGAATTGATTTTCTGAAGGTTCCCAGGTCTTTACTGTTGGGTGTCAGAATTCATTCACACCCATATGAACCTCATATGTACAAAGCAAAGCTCCATAGGAGTGTGACCTTTTAAAAGTAAATTACCAAATATTTCTTCCAAGGTGCTTCTGGGTGGGATAGAACATTGAATTTTCAGCTCCTAATTGAATGCTTATATCTCAGATTGTGAGGATGGTGTAGGACGGGGCAAGGGATAATAGATCTGTTGTTCATAGAATTGCTGTGAGTCATAGAGAGAGCTCTGTTGGCCTAGTGGATAGAAAGTGATGCTACTAAGCCAAAGCTGGGTGATTTTAATCTGCAGCCCTCAGGCCTGATTTTAATTGTTTGGGGGCAAACATTCTTCTAAATGGTATAGCACTGGTTTGTTAATTTGCTGTACAGAGGTAACTCATGGTTGCTGTGATACTAAACACTGTGATACTGATGTGTCAAATGCATTAATGGTTACCCACAGTGGACAGTGTTTGGTGAAGTTCCCAGATTAAAACAGGCTTGAAAGCAGGAGTGACATCCACTTCCGAAACACCTTGTTTCTGGAAACTCTATGAACATGGAGAAATGATGAAAGTTTTACAATTGTTCAGGTCTTTCATTCATAGGATAATTTTGAATTGCCTATGACTCAACAGCACTTAATAATGAATGCTTAGAAAACTCTGGTGGCCTAGTGTCAAGAAGCTGCAGTGCAATCTAGAAGGCACATGGTTTGAAGCCACCAGCTGCTCTGCGGGAGAAGGATGGGCAGTCTCCTCCTGTGTGATTAACTGCCTCTGAAAACCTGCTGGAGGGTCAGCTGTGGGTTGATTCTGACTCTATGGTACACAACAATAACAACAGCAATCGAATGCTAAACCATTTGGACCACCAAGGGACTCTTCTCAAAACTCAGGACTAAAAAATTTAAAGATCTCAGTTCTAACTTGATACATATAAGAAAACAGAAAAGAAATAAAATGTTCATCATCGCTATTTTGGCCTTACTCTTCTGATCTCTGGAAAAAAGGAGACCAGAGTAGTAAGGCCTTATTCTGAGTTTCTCTCAAGGTATTAATTTCTCCCGTGGCATGATCCATTTATTCATTGCTTTTCCCTCAGCTAGTATTTCTCCTTCCTTCCACCTATCATTTACTTTCACCCAAATTTTTCCACCTTGGGAAGGGATGATATCAGGTTCCGCTACCATAACAGTCCAAATTGAAGGCAGCAAGAGGTGTCTGGCAAGTGCTTCCCGACCTAATCCATTCCCATTCTTACTAAGCAGGGTTACATAGGTACAACAGCAATGGGCTATTTGACCGACCACTAGTCAAGACAGTCCTATTCACCATTAACCCTAGTTTTGCAAAATCAGATGATTGGGATTTCTTGCATACTAGTTTAAAGGTACTGTTACAGTTGTTTGCCCTGGAATTGACCCTGCAGCATCTGGCAAAAGGTGAACATTCCAGGTGAAGCAGAGAATGAGAAAGAATTGTGTAGTGATACCAGCATCCTCCCTCACTCTCTCTTCTCCAGATAGATATTCCTGAGAAACATAGTAGTCTGTCCAAGGGTGAATTCCCTTTAGCACCAGCCCCCGTGATGAGTGTGAATACACATTCCTGAAGGCATGTGAACCAGCCTTTATTCCCCTCTATGTTGGATAACAAGTGTTTTAATTGCACATTCCAATTCTCTATAAGACCATTACTCTGATGGCAATAGGCAATATGGTATGTCGATTTAGCATGGTGTTTCTTGACCCATTGCTGCACTTTATGGGCTATAAATTATGTTCTTTGGTCTGAGAAACTATAACTTGGCCTAAACTGGTACAGAATGTTTTGTTCCAATCCTTTTGTCTCAGGACATAAAGTGGCTTCTCAACTTTTCTTCCCATCTTAGTAGC